AAGCTGAAGAGGCTGAGAGAGCTGCAATGGCGGCCATCCGAAGTGTCGCTAGGCTTCCAGACGTGGGTCAGGATGACAGGGCTGCTGTGAGGCCTGAAGATGCTACCCCGGAGAATCTGGAGAAGACGATCGCCGACCTCACCCGGAAGCTGAGCAACATGCCCGAATGGTCCGGAAACCTGCTAGATCCCAGGCGATCCGCGGAGTTGGTCGCGGCTAGGTGGGGTGGAAGAGCAATACGACAAGCCCGAGCCTCCGGTCACGGAAGCGGGAATGCGTAGCGCAACGCAGGAGGAAAGGGCTTACGCACTATCCGAGCTTGAAACGGTGGTGGGTTTCCACAAGAAGCACCTATGTTCAGCGAAAGGAGATGCGGGTGTGGGTGCGGTAGCACCGATTTTGGCATTCGCTCCTACGCAGTTGAGGGAGAGCAGGCTCTTCTTCCCATTGAACGGTAAGGAGGTGTTCAACTCTGTGGTGCGGGACGGGAGAGTGGACTGGGTCGGAGATCGGAGTGTCCTCGCAGAAAACTTGCGAAGAGACGCGCCCAGTGAGGTCAGGTATGGCCGCGCGGTAGTGCCGGCAAAGACCACGATGGCGGAGTACATTCCCGGCTACGACACGAAGACCGCTCCTAGTCCGGCGGCCAGGCAAACAGCAGAGATGCTGATGAAGTGCATGGCGGCCGACTTCGATGGGATGACCATCAACTCAAAGAAACCGTCGGAGGTATTCGACCCTTTGAGAATGAAGACGGAAGGAAGGTGGCTAGGGAATTGGCTGTCCGCTGATCAATGCATCTGGTTCCTCAAAGAGCTTGGGGGCATCGAGAATGCAGCGAAGACATGGAACTTCTTCAATCCGATCATCAAGGCATTCCCGGTAGGGCAGGTGGACGTCCTGTTGATGGTGATGTACACAGAATCGGATGAGATGGTGAAGGAGCATACCCGGTTGATTGCCGTTAGGCAAACTAGGATCGGGAGAGATCTGAGTTATCAGAAGGCCCGCCAGATGTACACGGAGCAGGGCGCGATCGGAGGACCACTGTTGTGGGAACTGCGGTGGGAGGAAGTTCCTCCAGTTGGGTACATCATGATGAAGTTCTCTGACTTCAGGAAGGCCGTTCAGATCCAGCGGATCAAAAGGAACGGGAAGGCCATGATCGAGTTATTGATTGCTAGGCCGGATGAGTACCACAACATCGGGGATGGCCGGGAGGATGAAGGCCTCGTGCAGATCACTGCCTCGATTAGGCCGGAGGCGCAGGTTTCGCCATCTTGGTACATCAAGGACCGGATGAGAAACTATGCTGGAAGGTTCGTGGTGGTGATGGTCGACCTCAGGGTGTACTGGTCGAAGGTGGATGCTGTGTATCTGACCAGGAGGAAGACGATTGCCGTTAGGGAAGAGATCCAGGTCGGAGCATGGAAGGCTGCGTACTTCCACGATGAGTTCACCCTGCTGTACCATCGCGTTTGGGATTATGGTGACTTTGCCCCCGGTAGGGGAGTGCATCAGCGATCCAGGGACCGAATTGACTTGTGCGTTAGCACCACGCTTTGCCTCAGGTGTGCGGAGATTGTTCCGTGTGGGCTGCATTTGTGCACGGGGTGTGCATTGCCGATCTTTTACCCGGGATTTGTCCCGAATCCGGAGGAACCCATTGCGGACAATCCTTTGGTGCCGGACTGGGTGAAGGAGATGAACCAGTTCAACCCGAGGCCTATGGCAAAGGAGGAGGTGGGAGTCATCAAGAAGACGATGATCTCATTCTCCATGAGCTCCGACCTGCGGCTGACCGTTCAGAGTGGAATCAGGTTGCCCAGCTACATCAACCGGGATGATGGAGGTGCTCAGGCTGGCTGGGACAAGGTGCAGGAAGTCCTGTTCAGGAACAGCTTCATTATCGGAGTCAAGGAGTCAGACCTCTTCGTGGAGAAGGCTGTGGCGAAGTATCTCATCACGACGGATCAGGCGGACAAGTATTCGTCGGTGAGCGAGTTCTTCCGTGCCAATCCGTTGATTGCGGCCAAGTGGGGACGGCGGATGACGACTTCCGTTAGGAAGCCGCCGAAGCACGACGTGTACCTGTCGTTCTACATTCCCATGGCCTACGTGATTGGTGCCGCGGCTGGACACTTGACCCCGCTCTACCCAACACATCGGAAGGACGAGGATGTGCTTGGGAGTCACCGGCTGATGGCGACGCTGCGAAACTACATGGCGAATGCGTGTAGGTTCAATGAGACGGAGCGGCTGGCTGAGGCGGTGAGAAGGATGAAGATCGCCAGGGAGAAGGGCGAGATGAAGCCGCTGGCCGATAGGCATGACCCGCACGTCTACGAGAATGAAGAGAAGGTGAAGACGGTGATTGGCGCTCAGAAACCGGAACCGGCTGAGGTCGATATCAACACGTTGCAGACGTTCCATGACCCTGCGCCGGAGAAGGATCCCGAGTCCAGGAAGACCAAGGATGCCGAAGCCAAGAGCCAGAAAGGGAAAGGAAAGGCAGGTGAGAAGGGTGGAAAGGGCGGTAGCCCTGCTGCTCAGGCACCGAAGAAAGGCAGCGGATCTGGGAAGGGGAGCGGGTCGGGCGGTAGCCCTGTAGCTCCCAAACCCAAGGCTAAGGATGCTGCTGATTCTGGACCGGCACCAATGGATGTTGATCCTCCCAAAGCTCCGGGAGACAAGTCGTGGCTGGACATGGCCAAAGCCGCGGATGAGAAGGTGGCGAAAGCCAAGGCAGCGGTAGCTGCTAAGTCGGCACCGGCATCGGCCGGGAAGGATGAGCCCAAACCGGAGCCTAAGGCTGTGGAGCCCAAGTCGGAGCCCAAGGCTGCCGAATCCAAGCCGGAGCCCAAGGTTGAAGTGAAGAAGGAGGCGGAGGATCCCAAGCCCGAATCCGGCGGTAGCCGAGGGGAAGGGCGCACCAGACCGAGGGTCAGCAAGTGGGACGACCCGACAGATGAGCCTGGCAGGGATTCGTCAAAGCGAGAAGCATCTAAGCAGTTAGATGAAGTCGCTGAGCGACCAGCTGCTGCGGCACGAGGAGCCAGCGGAGATGATCTTCACTCGGCACTGGAAAGATCTTCAGGGGCGCCAAGTGAGAGGACCACGGCGTCGAAGGCGATGGCGAGGAAGCCTGATGAAGGTGATATCAGGTTGCGATCAGCTGCCCGTGATGCTGGACCTTCCGTGCCGGGGCACTTTGCGGCGCTGCCGGGAAGCGAGGCCATCGAGGTGTTGCTGAGTGCTGCAGACCGGGAGCTATCCCGGCGGTTCAGGGACCACATGAGACGCGGCGAGGATGACTTGGCGTTGGATGTCCTGAATCGGGTGATGGCGGAGTCGATGGCTGCACGCGATAGGCGCAGTGCTGGTGGATCGCATGCAACATCGGTGAGGACAGCGAGCATTGACTCGAGAGATTCCCGAAGGCCGCGAAGGCGAGAACCTCGTTATCGAAGGAGAGAAGATCGAAGGGATCGCCGAGGTACTCCACCAAGCGGAGGAAGCCGGGAACGGCGAAGAGACGATCGCAGGGGATCAGAGCGTGACTATGATCGTGATCGTGACCGAGACCGGACGCGGGGCGGACGGGACCGGAGGAGGCGTGACGACAGCCGGTAGGCGGTGTCACGAGGGCAGAGACCGGTAGGTCTAGTCCCGTCCTCCGAAGGTCAGCGCTGGGCGATGAGGATCTTGGTCCTCCCGAACCGCTGAGGCGAGTTGATCATGCTCCTGCCTTACCGCTGCTGTGCGGCTGGAGATGGTCACTCTGGTGCTCTTCAAGTGAGAGTGGGAAAATGGACGTTCGGAGGGTACTCCATGGTCCATATAGTATAATTGTTTTGAGATACGCACGGTCGCATGTACATTCCGCCGGTAGGCGAGAGTACATTTGGAACATATTGGTACTTTGGTACATGGCTTCTGATACGAATGAATACTCGCATCTCTGAAGCAAACTGTGGTGACCTAGTGTCGTCATGTGGGCTTTTCCACTGGGTGTGTTGGACAGTGTTGCCCCGATTAATTCGGGGTGGTGGCGGGATTTTAAGGCCCGGGATGTCGCGCAGCTGCCTATGTGGGTTTGCTCCACCGCTGATGGCGGTAGTGTCCTGCTGTTTGCGGACGAAATGTGAGCATTATTCCTATCAGTAAACGGCACGCTCCCTCCGTCTGAGACGGACTCCACGTGAGGGGGGTGTGATTTGCCATGTGATGTTACTGTATGCTGGAGTCTCGCGGTAGCGATGAGCCAGCTTGTTCCCTCAAACATTTGTCGGTACTGACAATGTTTGGCTCAAGTTTGACGAGTTCCGTCACGCCTCGGATGGGCGTCGCCGAACTCCAGCGTCGACCGACGTTGTCTCGGGGGAGAAAGAGACCTCGGGCCGCCGTCAGGTTGGTTGGAACCCTTCGTGCGGTCCATCGTCGACCAAGGTTGTGGGCAACTCTTTTATACTTGTTTTGGTGTACTTGTGGTTGTTTGGTTGCTTGTACGTTGGAACCCCTGATCTTTGGGACTAGGGATTGGTTAGTGTTTGGAACCTTTCTTTGTGGCTTGTTTTACCAACTTAACCATTTGCCTGGGCACAGGTCCGTGCCCCAATCACACAATAATTACAATCACAATCCCCTTGTTTTCAGTGGTTTTAGGGGACCCCATCCTCCTAGTTTAGATCTATTTAGACCCCTACTGTACAGTACCATGCCCAACTTTCCGGCCCAAGCTGGCTCAGCCAGTGGGCGCGCATTTTAGCACTTGGCTCATGTGGCTCCCTGTCAATGGCAAGAGCTCACTTTTTCTACCACTGGGCACCTGAGCTGGTGCATGAGCTGGGGCACCTGAGCTGAGCTTATTTATTTGTTTGGCAAATATTTTGTTCGTTGTTTAATTGGGCTTTCTTGAGTCTTTTTCCAGGCGCCGAAAACCACAGGGATCTCCGCGCCGACGCGACGCGTCGTCGTATCCGCTCGCGTCCGCTTGATAGGCTTCTCAAACCGGGAGGCCGCGGCGGAGACGGCCGGAGGGCCGAGGAGGGCCGAGGGCGGTGAGGAGTTTTTGTTCAACCAACATCAAGTGAGCAGTGCCAGAAACCCCCAATGGCTGCTTTGGTAAGGGGCTTTTATACTGTTTAGCGGAATAGGGATGATAACCCACCATACAGATCCTCACTAACGAACCAGTATAAGGGAGTTTCATAAGGTTTTTCGGCGCTGCTCAAGTAATGTTGTCCCCTCATGAGCATAATCCCGGTAGATTATTAGGGGGGTCCCTTGTTTAATGGTTGGAGTCTCCACTTATTGGGGTGACCCCCCCATTAATACACCGAGTTTACGAATCAGGGGTCAACAATAAAGAAATAAGAAACATACATAACACTGGCAAAGGGGGGAACCACACCACTACTGGAAAATGTTTATATCATTTTGTCCAGGCACCGAAACAGGTTGGCCCATTTGGCCCAGCCCTCCTTCTCGGGAAGAAGGCGGGAAAACAAACTTCGGCCACACAGTTTTGATTCCTCCTTTGCATCTAGGAGGCCGATCCCAGATGGGGCCTGCCCATTTTGGGGGGTTTCCCAAAATGGGTTTGCGGTTTTTTTTGAGGGACCCCCTTTAGGGTTGGTTTCCAAGGGAATTTAGTGGAAACCAACCCATTTTGGGGTACCTCAAAAAAGACAAACCCAAATAGGGGACTCTGTCGTTGTTGTATGTCATTATTTTGAGAAATGGGCAATGGAGGTGACGTTTTTTTTCCTAGCAATGGCCCCGGTGCCTAGCAAAGGCTCAGAGTTGGCCAGGTTGGTTGGTTGGTTGGTTGGTTGGTTGGTTGGTTGGCCAGCTTATTAAGTTTGGACTGGCTGTTTGGCTGGGTGAATGGCTGCTTGGTTGGCATCCCGGCAGCATCTAGACTTGTTTCGCAGTGGTCTGTTGCAGCTGGTTGGTCCAGGCCCCTGGTAGCACCGCACACAGATTTGGGGGAATGTTCGGAATGCTTGGGGGTGTTCTTGGGATCGGTGTGGGGGCTTCCACAGGGGTGAGTCTTGGATCAAATGTTGGCGATGTGGCTTAGGCTTGTGTGGGTTGACAGAAGGGTTGCCAAACCTGGATCTCGTGCGATCTTGAGTGAGCTCGGGGACAACTTTAGGCAGGCTTGTGCTGCTTTTGGGTCTGATTCATCACTGGTTCAGGTTGTGTTTGCTTTTTTTTGGGTGGCTTTTGGACGGTTTGGGGTTGGCTTTGGAGCGTTGCCCCAAACCACCAAACCATCCAAAAAGCAATCCCAAAAGCATGGGTAGAAACTAAAAGTTTTTCTCACTAAACTCACTACAGCACTTTTGGGTAGAAAACTGTGAGCCCCTTTTGTTTGCTCCATTCGAAGAAGCCAGTTTTCTACCCTGTTAGTGACTGGGGGTTAGTCTTTGCAACCCTGTAGAAGTTTGAGATGGCCCCACAGAGGTCTTGCCCTAATGACACAGGCAATGCCTGAATTCCAGTGAAATGCCATATGGCTGTGACTCAAAAAAGGGCTCCAACGTGCGGAACCCTGGTTTCCACCGGACATTGCTAAAGTCTGCTCGGGACAACGCCCCTGGTTGTGCAGCAAATTGAGCCGCACCTGAGTCAGAACTAACAACGCATAATTCAAGCCACAAACACAAGCACAGACACAAACACAAACAGACTCAAACACAAAGCGACACAAACACAAACATAAACTGACAAAGACAAGCACACTCAGACACAGACACAAACACAAACACATAATGCAAGCCACAAACACTAACACAACAGACACCCGCACACAGACAGAAACAAACAGACACAAACAGATACGAACAGGCAAAAACAGACAAACAGACACAAGCAGACACAAACACACACACACACAACCACAAGCAGACACAAACAGACACAAACACACACACACACTGACTCAAACACAACCACAAACAGTTCCGGGCATTGTCTGAGCTGCGCACGGTCCGAGGCCCGTGGCATGCTGGAGAAGTACCTTTACAACGAGCGTCCCTTTGCGGCGTCCATCCAGCCGCTCGGGCCAAGCCGTTGGCGTCCCGTTGTTGGCCATGAATCCTCGGCCGTTTGTGGGGGTTTGCGGCTCTTTTTTTGGTTGGGACCCCCTAAACGAAACTTAACACAAACACATTTCAAAAAGGGGGTACCAAAAACATACACACACACATTTTCTGATTGTTGTTCTTTTGTTTTCCCCCCTCCGCGGGCCATAGCCAGGGAATCAGGTGACTCTTTCAGGGCTTGTGAGTGTTCCTGTCACCAAATTCCTTGTCACCCCTGGCCCCAGTTTGTAGCTTCCTTTCGCCTGTTTGTTGCGTTTGCGCACCTTCAAAATTGGTTTCCCATGGTTCCCCCACGTTTTTTGGCTATGGCTTTAAAAAGGGGGGGGCCCAAAATACAACCCTGGTAAATGGACAAGTAAAACCAAGTAGCCCCTGGTCCCATATTTTTGAGCCACCCCTGGTCGTTTCCCAGTTTAAAAGCGCACACTGGATGCGAAAGGGGAAAGCCCAGCACTAGCGACGTTACCGGAGGTCACCCGAGGACCGGAATTACTATAAACTGTCCACTGGGTTGCTCACTAAACCACTAGTTCCTACAACGAGGCGTGGCGGAGAGCAGGGAAGACCTTCGCAGCTGCCTTCTACACTCAGGAAGGGGATGACATTGTTGCTCACTAATACGACGTAACTATCCCACTAAAGCACTTTTGGGTAGAAAACTGTGTTTGAGTCCCTTTTGTGACTGCTCTTAGACGAAGCCAGTTTTTTTGTTTACCCTGTTAGTGACTGGGGGTTAGTCTTCGCAACCCTGTGCCATGAATCTTAATTAGGGCACTTCCCAAGTTAGTGGTGGCTGATAGTTGCAGTAATCTCCACCGATGATTCACCATGTCCACCAAGCTGGACCCTGCTCCGGGCACTGACTGGGTTCCCGGGTGCCCGGAGCATGAAAGCTCAAGCCGCTCAATTGGAGCGGCACCAGGGAGTATCTTCCAAAAACCTCCCTGTGGGGGGTTTCTCAAAAGCTAGGGGACCCCTCTTTTGGTGTGTGTTTAAAGGGAAACTAAAAAGGGGGCCTCTAAAAAAGGGCGGTAATGTTGACCCCTTGATGAGCACCGGGGGTGTTCCCTTGTTTAGTGGTTGGATTCTCCAGTTATTGGGGTGAACCCCCTATTGATCATCGACCGGGTTTATGCTCATCAGGGGTCAACATTAGCAGTTTCTCGGCAGGTTTAGGGCGCTAACAGGCTTTCAGCGCACTCGACCGAAACTTTGGAAAGACTCGAGATGCTTGAAATGCGCAAGACATTGGAAGCGTTTAAAATGTTCGCGACGTTTGAAGCGCTCGAAACGTTCGAACAGTTCCATGAGAAACGCTTGAAGCATTCAAGACGCTCGAGCCGCTTAGATGTGCATAATTTGCACAGTTCCGCAGCGAGAGCGATTTGACCCGAGCAAAATCCGCAGAGGGTTCGCTTTGACGTCGTCATGCACGTGCTGCGCCTCTGAAGTGCTGCGCATGCCGGGTGCTGGTGTCTTTGTCTATTTGTACAGGGACGCCCCCAAAGTGGGAGACACATTACTTCATAACCCTGGCTGACTGTCTTCCCAAACTGCATGCCGTATTTGTTTCAATGTCTTGCCCCGAAAATGCGAGCCTCTCACAAAAAGCCACCACAATATGCATGTTGCGCCTGCCACGAAAATCCATCACGCCCAAATGCAAACCATTCCAGTGCGGGAGTGGGGCGGTGGCACATTTGTTCTATAAAACATTGTTTGTACACACCCATCTGGGTTTGCTTAGGATTATCTCCAACTTTCTCCCTACGTTGGTAAAGACTTCACCAGAGTTGGAGCAGCAGCGGACATCCTTGCGTCTGCCCGTGGGGCTGGAGATTGCTGGCGATCGCTTCTTGATCAACGAGCTGGAGGGCATGGACACCACGAACATGACCAAGACGCAGGTCAGTGCGCATGCAGCTCTGCTGGAAACGCTGAAGCGGTGCACGGGGCTCGAGACACGCTTCCCGTGGCACGATCAGTGGTGCCGATTGGCGGGGCGCGAGGTTCCCGTCCATTATGTGGCTGCGTGGCCTACGGGCGGCGGTGTGCTTCACCAGAGTTAGGTCCACTTTTTACAGGTTTTAGTTGTTTTGGGGGGGGGGGGGTCCCTAGTTGTTTTCCACTTACCAATTGTAAAAATGGCGATTATTTTTTGCAGGGGTCCCCTTTCTCCAGCCAAGGTACTTGCAGAACTGTTCGGTGACACTTTACTGCAAACGGGCCGGCCGACCACGCATGAAACCCCCGAATCAGGTCCCCCTGCCATCCGTAAGCGTAAGAACCCCATAGCCTTGCCAGACTGGGGAAAACTTGTTTTTTGACGTTTATGTGCTTGTGTTTTTCGGAGACACTTGGAGATGCCCCTTTAATCCTGTTAGGGTGGGTTTGAAAGGTGTGATATTGAGGAAACCTTTCCTTTTTGTTGGCTTGGAGGAGGGCGGGGCAGCATTGGTGACTAAACATTCACTAAACATTCACCCGAATTATGGCTGCCTGTTAAGCGGGGAGCTTGTGAATACACAGTTTTATGCCCCCCCCCCCCGGTTTAGACAGGGGGTTGGCCCCACCAAACCAGGGTAGGGCGGTAAATGGGTCCAAATATCAGCAGCCTTCTGGATCCCGAGAGGGTCCCGATTTTTTGAGTAGCCTCGCCGCACTCAGGAAGAAGCAGCCGTACGCGTTGCCGGCTAATTTTTGTTGGGGGGGTCTGAAACAAAGAGTTTGGTTTCTTCTATCCCCTTGACACCCTTTCTCAAACAATCAGCTTGCAGCTCACTCACGGAAGATATTTGAAGGCTACTTTCCTCTTGGGGGAGCCCCCTTTCCATTACCATTTGGGCAAGTTATAGAGACCTCACAGCTCGACCTCACTAAAGATCATGGTTAGTAAGGGAAACCATCCCCACACCCCCAAATCTTTCAGGTTGGTGAATTATCTATAATTTGCCCAGATTGCAATGATTGGGGGCAGGGTGATTTTAACGTGGAAGCCAAAACTATTTTTGAGAGGAAAGCAAAGGGGCGCCAAGGTCAACCTGTGAAGATTTCGTCCCGAATCTTGATGATTCATGCATGTGCCGTGGCCGACTGGCCCAATTTCCCAACCTGCCCAAAGGGCGGGATTCATGCCTCTCTGCGAGGCCACCTCGGCCGCGGTCGGAGCCGCCATGACTACGCATCCGGAGACACTTTGAGCCCGGGCTGGAGAAAAGGCAGGCTGACCTCGCGCGCAGCCCTGCAGAAGTGGAAAGCCAACTTCAAGTTGGTAGCGGAGCCGCTGCGGCGGCATCCGGACAGCCTTTACCCCGAGCCCTTCACGCTCCTCGCTCCTCACCATGTCAGGCAATGGAAAGGGCAGCAAGCCCGATGAGCCTAGCGGCAGCTCTGGCGCCGGCACTTCGCATGAGGTGACCAGGGACAACTACATCCCGGTCTTCGACGGCAGGCCGAACAACTATAAGGAGTACCGCATGCGCATCATGCTCTACTTCAGGAAGATGAGCCTGCAGAACCGCAAGGGCGAAGCCACGATCAACCTGCTCACGAGCCTCTCCGGCACCGCATGGGAGCACATGGTCGACTCTGCACCTGAGCAGGAGGACGGCTTCGAGAAGGTCATCTCTCAGCTGGACTTGGCTTTTAAATATGATGACCGCGTTGAGATGCCCCGCACATTCGAGCGGTTCTTCTACAACCTCAGCCGGAAGCCGCACCAGAACCTCCTCGCCTACTGCACTGAGCATCGTGAACACCTTCGGGAAGTCGAACGCCACAAGGTGGTCATCCCGGCCGCGGTCAGCAGCTGGCTTCTCCTTTGCAGAGCCGGCCTCACAGCCGAACAGCGGCAGCTGGTCCTTGGTCAGGTCGGAAGCGACACCACCTTGGAGAAGATGGAAGGTGCTCTGTACTACCTGTACGGCCAGGACTTCATCGAGGTTGAGGTGGTCCTGCTCGAAGTAGAGCTCCTCATCGAGGCTCCAGTGAGCGGTGGCGGGCTTGCGGTAGTTGTTGTTCCAGCGGTAATTGCCACGGCCACGTTGAGGAGCCCATCGTTGCGAGTGGTGCTGCTGCTTGTCCTTCCCGGTGAAGATGCTTACTGGGAGGAGTATGAGGACCACGACCCCCACCTGCCCCGGACGCCACCGAGCAGATCTTCTTTGATGAGGAGTTCGAGCAGCCCTACGACGACACCGAGGAGGAAGTGTTCGCCACCTACCTCGACGCCCGCAAGAAGCTGGCCGAACACCGAAGCGCTCGAGGCTACTACCCCGTAGTTGCCCTGACCGACACCAATGCCCTGGCCGTTGCCTCATCCACCTCACCATCACATGGCGGCAAACCTGGTAAGTCCGCCAAGGGGAAGCACTCCAAGAGCAAAGGCAAAGGGTACGGCAACCGCAAACTCCTCAGAAAGGATCTGCCTCCCAACGAGCACGAGACGCTCTTCCACCAGGCACCAAGTGCCTCCGATGTGGCCAACCAGGCCACTGGGCCGCCCACTGCCCACAGAATTCGCAGACCAACTCCCCGAACAAGAGAGCTAAGCCCGCCGACAACATGGTCGCCCAGGAGGAATCTGCCTACCTCGAGCAGCCCGTGGACCAGCCCTTCATCACCGGCATGCAGGATGGCGGAGCCTCCAGTGTGCTATGTGGACACGATGTGCTGATGAATCTCATCGCCAAGTTCCACCAGCAGGGCCTCTCGCCGGAGGAGTTCCAGTTCAGCAGAACCAACAAGAGCTTCAGGTTCGGCGGCGACAACAGCAGCATCTCCACCTGGTCAGTGCACCTCCCGGTCTTCATGGCTGCCACAAGGGCCGCATCCAGACCTTCGTTGTGGAGGGAGGGACACGACCAGCAGACCTGCAGTGTCCTCAATGAGCCCTGGCAACCTGCCACCAAGGGCCCGATGGGCGAGTACCTCCTTCGCCTTGATGATGGCATCAAGGACGCACTCCACCACGACCTCGCCTTCGACTACATGACCAACGACATGGTCACGGACACAGACCGTCACTTCCTGGAGTTCCACAACCTCAACGACTACCTCAGCGATACTGGACGCCTTGGACCAGAACTTCCAGAAGTGGCCCACCACGCTGAGTGCACTACGGACGATAACCTCATGATCGACCACCACACGGACTGCAACATGCACGAAGGCGTCACTGAGCCTGTGCTCTGTCACATCCCACAGAAGATGTGGCGCACCTTCGATGTGGCCCTGGCTACTTGGAGCAACCACATGAACTACCACCTCAACTCCATCTCCAAGCACAAGCCCAACGGCAAGAAGGTCTTCTGGGAGGTCTACTCCGGCATAAGCAACCTCTCACAGGCCATGGAGGCCCGTGGATGGACCGTCAGGACCTTCGATCTGCCGATGGGACTGTACCAAGGCCGAGTGCACCCGCGCCTTCCTCCAATTTCAGGATGAGGAACTGCCTGATGTGGTATGGCTAGCACCTCCGTGTAAGAAATGGTCGCGGATGCAGAACATCAACCAGCGGACCGCAGAGCAGACCGAGCTCCTCCAGCTGGACCGCGCCTACGAGCACACCACGAACCTCAAGTTCACCCGCCGTGTTTACCTTCGCCAGCAACGCGGCGGACGTCAGGCCTACGTCGAGCAACGACTTTGGTCTCTGGCATGGAAGACCCCGGCACTTCAGCTGGGAGGCTACCGCGCCATCTTTGACCAGTGCGCCTACGGCGCCGGTTTCTGGACTTCCCCTACGGCGTGGCACTACATCCGGAAGCCGACCGCCGTGCTCTCCACCGAAGAGTCATTCGCCGAGACCATGAGCCTCAAATGCCCCGGCAACCACTCACATGTAGCCCTGCAAGGTTCGAGACCCGGCATTGGCAGCCTCACCACCGCGGCAGCCGCCTACCAGATCGACATGTGTGAAGCTCTCAGCCAAGCCATATGCACCACCACCGAACAGCGGAATGAGCAGGCCTACACCGGCGGAGATGAACTACCTCCACCTCATGACCAAGCCGATGGTCAGGTTGATGTCCCTCAGGCACGATCACGACCTCGAGCGCACCGGCATCCTCCAGAAGATTCGCTACAACAATCCTGTCGAGAGCCAGCGACTGGTAGCCCGCCTACATCGCAACCTTGGCCATCCATCTCAAGCAGAACTTCTGCGACATCTTGAGACTCGTGGAGCCTCTGAAGCTGTCATCCTCGCGGCCAAGGACTACCAGTGCGAGCTGTGCACCCGATATGCCCGACCATCGCAGACCCCGAAAGCTGCGACACGGACCACCTCCGTCTTCAACCAACGCTTGCAAGCGGACACCTTGTGGATCCAGATCCAGAACAAGCCTGTCCCGGTGCTCACCATGCTGGATGCTGCAACCCGCTACATGTCAGCTCGCGTCCTCCCCACCGAGACCAGCCAGGAGTTCCTCAATGCAGTGCAACGCGGATGGATCCGTACCTTCGGACCTCCTCAACAACTACAAGTCGACTCACACCGTGGATGGTGCTCGGACCTCGTCCGCCAGTTCACCGGCGAGCACTCCATCGAGCTGATCATCAGTCCTGGGGAGGCCCATGAGCGCCTGAGTCTTCTCGAAAGGAGGCACCAGGTACTTCGACGAGCAATCGACATCGTCATCGCGGAGACTGGACGAGACAGCATCCAAGGACTCAAGGACGCCCTGGACTTCACCGTCCAGGCCCTCAACCGCATGTCCACCTACAAGGGCTTCTCGCCCAACCAGTGGGTCCTTGGATATCAACCACACCTTCCAGGTCAACTCGTGGAGGAAAACCTCAATCCCACGCAGCTGCAGCCCTCCGAGCAGTTTCAGCAGAAACTCCAACTGCAACTACAAGCAAGTCAGGCAATCCTGTCTGCCAATGCTGATGCCCGACTTCGTCGAGCTCTCCTTCGACAATACCGTGGCAACTCTGAGCCCCTGTCCATCGGCAACAAGGTCTTCTACTGGAGGGACGCCGCTGGGACTGGACCAAAAGTCAAGTGGAAAGGGGCTGCTGTTGTCATGGTCGAGACCGACGGCAACACCGGCAAGCCACGATGCTACTGGCTGGTCCACGGGTCCAACCTTCTGCGTGCAGCACCTGAACATGTCCGACGCACTCTCGAGGACATGGCCAACACCGAGAGCGACCCCCACAAGATTCTCCTGGACCTTCGCAATCGAGGAACCACCACCTATGTCGACCTCACCAAGTCCAACAAGCGGAAGATCGATGATGTGGTCTCTGATGAGGAAACAGATGATCCAGATCCCAAACGGCCCGCATCATCTCCTACCACCACAGCCTTGAATGATTACTGGGACATCGCCCCCGATGGCATGTTCTTCGACAGAGTCCATGTGGCGCCCAGGCAACAGCTGTTCTGCCCTTCGCCTGAAGATCCCGACATCCCCTACCAGCAGTTCGGCAGCCTTCGCCACACCGAGATCTACCGCCTGATGCCTGACTCCGGCAAGTGCACCACCGAAGCTGAACACCGCAATGATGACTGGCACCAACCTTTCGACTCCCACCTCGAGCTCCCCTACACTTGGACGGGGAGAACCCGATTCGTCAAGGCCGAGAACGACGGCGATGTCACCATGGGTGAACCTCATGCACCACCAGCTCCCATTCAGCCTACGCTTGAACCAGAAGCTGCGGAACCTCTTGCAA